AAAAGAACGTTACTACAATTTTTTAATTTGTTTTATAGTAGAATAGAGCTCGACATTTATGATATTATTTATAAAATGTTAAGGATTGCCTAACATCGTTTAATATGAACGATCATTATTCTCTTAATCATAAATCTATCTTCAATAGATAAAATTCTAAAAAACTCCTTAAATTTTAAAAGGAGCTTTATAACAAAGAAACAGTAAAGTTGAAAGTTACAAAAAATTTTATTTTATATTGACTACTTAACTTCAAATTTTGCGTATCAAGCAAATAAACTAATATTTTAAAATCCATCTGTAAATTAAGATTATCTCTTTTTCTCCTGTACCTCTTCACTGCGTAGGTAGTTTTATATTCACTTTTGTCGTAACTCATCATCTCACCCTGTTGATGGTCAACTATTTTATTTTTTCCATGTTTTGTTTGATGTCTTTAATCAATTCATAACATTTCTGCTCCTTGTCATTTTAGCTTTACCCCTCTTTTGATTTTCTTGAAGTGTCCAGTCCTGCACCTGTTTTACTTTGATTTTATCGGTTTCCTGACGGTGTGGCCAATCGATCCGTCGACCAGTATCTAATAATGCTCCTGTGCTACTTGGGTTCCTGTCCTGGAATGTTCCTCATTCCACATTGCTCGTAAAGATCTCTGTCAATTCCTGTCTCTTCTTCAGCACCAGCTTTCAGCGATGTCGTGAACATGTCTTTCAATCCTCGCACAAAGTTCCAACCTCACCAAAACACACACCGTTTCTGAGTTTATTTGCAACTTTCTGCTGTTTACCGAGCTTCCACCGTAAGCCTCGTTAATGGAAATACGGAGCTGTAAGCTTACGCAAAGATCTCGTCAAACTATTCTACAATCTAAATAAAGCATAAAGAAGTAACGGTTCCTTGATCAATAATTTTTGGTTTTGCTTTGAGTGGAAAAGCATTTCGCCTAGTTTCCTTTAAGCCCTGGGTTATTCTGTTTATTGTTTTACAATATCGACAAGTAAGTCGTTTTCAACTTTGCTAAAGTAAGGTAGACATCTTGGTTTTGTTTGCTGAAGGGACAGATAAATTTTTCGAACCGTTCGAAAAATGTATCATATGGTTAATGTAATCCCCAAACCTTTATTCTCCAGAAAAATCAGTTACAAATAGAGATTTGCTTCAGAAAGTGGATTTACGCACCTGAGAAAAAAATTTAAAAAATGGTGATAATGTTAATAAAAAAAAAAAAAATTTTTATAGTTTTTTATTTTTTCCAGATACGTACGAACACTAGGAATATTTCCATATCGTGATCTGTCGCGCTAACTACAATCGCCAAGACGGTTAATTTTAGAAATAGTGGGAAAAGTTAAATCTTAATGCTGATTTAGAATTTTAAATAGTGATTGAGTATTTATTATTTTAATTGCAAACGTTGAGTTAATACTGAATAGTTTCACATAAAATTTAATTGAAAGTAAATATGACTTATTAAAAAGTATATATAACTATTTTCAATACAATAGTTATAGTATAACTATTACATCATAACTATTACATCATAACTATTATATTATAAAACTATTATATTATAAATATAAGACGGTGATTAGATATCATTATTTTAAAATATATACTACAATAATCTTACACGATTGCTTTTTAATGAAAAAAAAAACCTTAAATATATAATCTAAATTAAACAGATTAAAAAAAATACCGATAAATGAGAAGTAAATAAATAACTTAATGTAAGCAATTTCTTTTAATTATTTAATGCTCATGACAACCAACTCTGGATAATCTAAATTGAATCGGAACATGTGATATATCTGTGCAAAGAAAATGTGCTTGGCATTTATCATTTTCATATTTATTACCCATTGGCAAAAATGGGTATTATTTTGGGTTTGATGGCTTGCGAACCGTATTCGGACGTCATCACACTTTTCAACTATGTTCAAGAGTAATAATAAACAGTGCGTATGCGTCATTGTTGCTATGACGACCACTGTTATTTGATATATTTTTTTTTTAATTATAATAATATTCATTAGACCGCATTGGTTTGAAAATAAGCTTATTATAAGTTTTATTTCTTTTATTTTCACCAGTAGTCATTCTTCAATGTATTTACATAATAATAATGTAAAGTATTTCTATATTCTTTTTATTATTGACTTATAATTACTGTCTTGACGGTGGTTTTAATATAAATATGAATACTGATGAAGGAAAAGTATTTTGCGTCGTCTTGCTTGAAATAAGTATGTAGGCAGGATTTGAAAACCAGTCCGACCACAAGAGGACAAACATCAATTGAGACAGTTTTTTCAAGCAATGATTTGAAATGCTGTGGCGTTTATCGAGGTCAATTCAGAAAAGAAAAAAAGTATTTGACCAATGGGTAACCAGTGATCGTAATAAAGAGATAATTTTTTTTTTTACTCATTTTTTTTAAAGCTGTTGTTGAACAGCCAATCCTAAACTTACGATTATCAAGATTGAACTCTCTGTCTCCTTAAAATTTGGAATCAAACCCAGGAGACAAGGGAATTCTTGAATCTACCATTGGTTGGCCTCTTAGAATCGGCTGGGGTACCGAATTGCGGAAAAAAACTGAAAAGAGTTTAAAAACTGGTGTATTGGTTTACTTTTATTCTATTTTGAAATCATGAATTTAAAAATGGAAGTTAGAATTCTTGGTCTTTTTGAGAGGATCAGATAATTCGGATTTGGTCAATTCGAGTAAAGGATATTTTTTTCGGTTCTGAACATCAATAAGGCACAAATGTTTTTGTTAATACTAAATTTTCTTTAAAACATTTAAAGCATTATAAACCAGAAGGCTTAATACCAAACACTTAATATTTATTAATATTAAAAAAAAAAGAGGGAGAGGGAGAATTGCGCCTTTTTCGTTAAAGAAAAATTTTTTGATATTAAATAGTTAGTGTTGGCGTTTTAATGTCAGTGTCATACAAAAGTGTTCATACAGTATTAATAAATCAGATAAATATTTAGTGAAAAAAAATTTTTAAGGTCTCATAACTCTAAGTACATTATTTTAATGCATGATTTAAACTAAACCAAACAATTTTCAAAAAAAATCTTTTTCATCATAATCTTTTTATAATTTTTATAAAAAAAAAATTAAAACTAGAAAAGTTGAGTTTAATTATTTAAGTGAATTTGCCTCACTTTAGACCAACATAAATAAGTAATTTTACAATGTTTAAATTATATTCCGTCCGTGAAAAAATATCTATGTCAAATAAATTTATGTGAGCAAATCTTATGCTAAGTCTTAATGTCTCTGAAAATGCGTGACCACCACCAATTCTGTTTAGCTTTTAAAATTAGTTAAATAAAGTAAGAATTATAAGAGTTTCGAATTACACGGCAGTATGGAACAGCAACTTTCAAACTGGTTACGGCTGATGTGCATTGGAAGATGTTTTACAGAATAGTTTGACAGAATAATTCATACCTTTTTAATTATTTTTTTTAATTTGTTATACCCTTATGTGTGTTTCAAATTTGATTATTTAATTAGCTATCTTGATTTTGAAAATTATTTAATTATTTCAGGAGAACTGGTTAGCATCTAAATTTATTATTTTTTTTTCCAAATATTCAAAGTGTAAGAATGCTTTATTTTTTGAGCATTGAGTTTTTGGAGTAATCAAAATGTGTTTAAACTTGTTAAAATTATTGCATATCTTAAAAATGCTTTATTTTATGTAGGTGAAGTTGTTTTAGTTCGATTTTAAAGAGTATGACTTGTTATAGGGGTCCGAAACATCTCTGTGTCCGGGGGCTCTGCATGCGATTAAGATCGAGGGCTCTAGCTAAAACTACTGTCCTCGTTACCATTCGTGATCGCAACACTCGAATACGCCATCTGGGGAGAGACCGGTTTCATGCCTTTAGCCCTTCGCCCTTCCCTCTCCTCCTCTTTTCAGTTGTATAGGAATGTACTACGATAATTTCCCTTTTTTTTAATATTTTTTCTTTTTATTTAATAAAAATATTTTTTAAAATTTCTATGATACTTTTCTTTAGAACTATGTTTAATGTAGTTTTCAGTTCCATATAGTTTTTCGAGCTAAAAGATTTTAATCTATGTGAAAATCAAGAAAGAAACTAACATACTTCCTTCCTCTATGACTTTCCACACGCTAATGGGGAAAGCATGTGAAGTGTTGCCATAGGAAAAGAGTTCTGCTCTACGCCACCTGCAGTCCATTTCGATCGCCAATTCTCGGGCATAATACACTTGAGAAAATAAAGATCTGGTGCCCGATTTACAACATCATGCTATTCATCGATATATCCCGTGTCTGCTACAAATGCACCCATTTTGACCATTCAACAAGAGCATGCTCTCGAACGCACGATCGTGACAAAGTATGCACCCGATGCTGTAGAGAGCCAACAGTGCATGGAGTCGCCAAACACGATGCTCTAAGATGCACTGAAGTGGTACACTGTGCTCAATGTGATGAAACTCCATTCATAAATAAATGGATGACCCGTAAGAGCATTTCATAAGATAACATTAATAAATACCACACTCCGGCTCAAATCCCTTCAAATGTTTCCTTTTATTTAAAAATTTTAAACCAAAAATTGAATGCTGCAATAGGTTTGAGCATTGTTGGAAAAATTTTGCCATTAAAATCTTTCAAACTATATCGTTCTGGCAACCGAAGGATCCAAACAATCTGAAAAAATTGGCGTGGGAATATATACCTCCAAAGGTTACACTACATTATGTTAGCCTCCTCCTCCGCATACATCGATCTGTACCACCGAATGACTGATGGGCTACTACAAATTCTTCCAATGTCCAAGCCACAAGCCGTTTCTGACATTTCAGTGCAGCTTTCTGCTATCTATTTAGCCGCAACCACAAGCTTCATTAATGAAAATATAGAGCTATAAGCTAACGTAAAGAGCACGTAGCACATGTTTGTAAAGTGGTTTATTCTCTTGGGATTATTTGGATTTTAAATCTTTTCTACTTTAGTTTGATTTTTAAATTTTCTTTTTAAAGCACATTACTGATTATTGAAAAACTACTTTTTTCTTTTTAGATAAAAAAATTAGTTTGAAGTATTTATGTAACTGTTATAGTGTCCTTACTTTATCTTGAACTTGTATTTAGTTTCACAATGTATCTGCAAAAAATTGCAGTATACATGAAAGAAATTAAAAGTTGATGATATAATGTTAGTAAGAATTTTCTTTGTCTCATATTACTAATATATATTTTTTGAAGTTTATGTAATTTTAATTGAAGATTAAATTGAGGCATAAAGAAAACAATCGATAAATTTTGTCTTTTATTATCGAAGTGTAATATTTTTAATTATTGAAATTTAAGCTTATTTCTGTAAAAATTATGCAATCTAAAATGACAAAGATTTAATAATTTAACTTGATATGTAGGGGGGAGTGGCTCACCTTGGGACATTTTTTTACTTTCTTTTTTTTTTTTAATTCTTTTATTTTGATCAATTATTGTCAAACTTTTAAAAGTTTTTGAAAGCTTGTCTTAATATTACCCATAAAATTAATTTTTCTTCTATCTGCTAAATGTATGCAAAAAGATGAATTTTTCTTAACTAAGCTGAATTGACATCGATGGTAATTTATTTAAATTTTCTTTATTCGTTTAAAATATTAAGGGAAACTTTTAGAGATTTCTTATTTGTGAGAGGAACATCTACCCACTGTTCCCTATGCCAACTGCGCCCATGTTATTTTATGCGATCTTACTAATTTGATTTTATAACATTTTTAATTTTTTTTTCAGGATGTTTCATATTTCAGTTCTTTCTTCTATCCATCTTAATTGGTATTCCTATCCTCTTATATGTAGATAGCTCATGGTCAATATCTAGGAGCAGGAATGCTAGACATGTGGTACAGATCTCCTGCTTTTAAAGGTAAAGGTTTTTGTGCCCAATAATTTTTATATATTAGTCTAATTTGGCCCTTGAAAAGCTACTGAATTTGTTTCTTATTGTTAGCAATAAGAATACTCAACTTGTATTAAAAAACAAGAATGAAAAAAATTATAAATATTAAGAAACAACAAAAAATATTAAGTTTTAAAAAAATAGCACAGTTTGTACCTCACTAATCATTCCGTTACTGAAACACTTAGTATTGTGCTAGAAAGAGGTGACCAACATTAAAAAATGATGCATATTTATCCATGACTTACAGTTGATCTCCCTCATGGTGCGTAGCATTTTTAAAAAGTGCTTAAAGGTGCTTATTTTTGATTTTTGTTTTTTAAAAGCCTTTAAAAGTGCTTTTTTCATTAGATGGTTTTAAAAAGTGCTTAATTTTCCCTTTTCAAAAATGAGATTTTTATTCTTTACCATGTTGATTTTCACCATGTATTTTGCAAAAGCTTGCTTTTTACATTTTTCTATTCAACGTTTTCAATATTCATTCAACCACAATCTATTTTAGCATAGTATCGTCCATAGCGTCTGAAAGCGCGAATCATTTTACATGTTTGACGAAATGCTTGTGTGGGTTTGGGGAGATAATTGCACTATCATGTGCAATTCTGCTGCATTTTACAAGATATTCTCAATTCCATCCTCTGATATTGCAGAGCTCATTCTAGGCAGAAAAAAGGGCAGGGTGCAAATGTTTAAAAAAAGGGCATTATTATTCTAAAAGGGCAATAATTTCTTTCTATGGGCTTTTCACGTNAGCAATGCTTAATGTGAGTCACTATGAGTCAGAGCTCATTCTAGGCAGAAAAAAGGGCAGGGTGCAAATGTTTAAAAAAAGGGCATTATTATTCTAAAAGGGCAATAATTTCTTCTATGAAAAAACATCGTCAATTAGTGAAAGAATTTTTTTTTACTTAACTAACAGTAGCAAAGCAATCATATTTACAGTTACCTGTTATTAATAAATTAACATATTTATCGAGTTATTGAGCTAATTAACTTAGTAATTTATTTAAAATGCTTGCATATATTAATAAAATAATAAATGTATGTTTTTAAGTGTCTGTAGTTATGATTTAATAATTNGTGCTTTTTTCATTGGGTGGTTTTAAAAAGTGCTTAATTTTCCCTTTTCAAAAATGAGATTTTTATTCTTTACCATGTTGATTTTCACCATGTATTTTGCAAAAGCTTGCTTTTTACATTTTTCTATTCAACGTTTTCACAATTCATTTAACCACTATCTATTTTAGCGTAGTATCGTCCATAGCGTCTGAAAGCGCCAATCATTTTACATGTTTGATGAAATGCTTGTGAGTCCGCATGTGCGCCGCGTGAGCTGGGTTCGGTGAGATAATTGCACTATCATGTGCAATTCTGCTGCATTTTACAAGATATTCTCAATTCCATCCTCTGATATTGAACTAAAAATCTCTTGATCATTTTATAATGGCTAATATAATCAAGAAAAAAGTTTTTTGTCAGAAGCTAGTTATTTTATCATGATCATGTAAAATCTCTGAAAATTATTTTGCATTTTGTTATTGTATATAGTGCCTAAGAATATTTTTTGAGTGCTTAAAAAGTACTTAAAAGGTGCTTATTTTTGTTGAAAGATTTGTCTACTCACCCTGTCCCTGAATAGCTTATTGGGTGAATAAAACCTCTCTTTAAGCCACAGTTATGTTTAGCAAGCCAATACTCAGTTTGTAGGTTATCTTAGTAAAGTTTAAAATTTTTTTTGACTGAATACAATATTGTTAGAAAGAAATTTGAAATTTAATTACACGACAATAGGCTCAGCATGCAATGCTCCGTGTCAAGTTTTTTTAGTATGCTAACACTTGTCTATTGTTTCCTTAAAATTTTTAGCCCGGGGCAAATTGAGTTAGCATAATATGGTTGAAATAGGGTGAAACATACCAGTATATAACTTTTTAAATTTAGCATTTTTTTGAAATGATGAAACTAGTTTTTGCCTTGTTTTACCTTCTACATGACTTTCTTTGTATATCTGAAATCTAAGTCACTTTCTTTTTATTATAATAAAATCTTTCGTGTATCCGCATATTATGCTCATCTGTTTTGCATATTACACACTTGTGTATATAAATTTCAGTTGTATAAATATGTTTTATATTGTCTTTAAGATTGTCATGTGGTATTCTGTAGTTGAGTCTATTGTAGCTGTAAATTACGAGGTTTTAAAGGCATGGCTTTTCTCTTGGGACTGCCTGTAACATCTAATGTAAGTTATTAGTATTCTAAATTCAGTTACACTTGTCATTTAAATATGTTGTCTTACAAAATGTTTTTATTTTGAGGGGAATTAATAATTGACTATGTCAACCTTCATCTACCAAAAGGTACCTCTTGATAGAATCAAGTTAACATGTCTCATATAGTAGGGAATTGGTATTTAATATTTATGGTGGTAGTTACACCACATTACTCTCTTCTAGAATTTTATTTCTGAAAGAATTTCATGAACTAATACCACTAGTTGATTTATGCTGTTTTTTTTTTATTTACATCATTTCGCTCATTAATAATTTTTTTGTTTTGTTTATTACCCGGGAAACTTTTTTTTTACTTCACCGGATTTTTTTTTAGTGCTATATTTATGGCAAATCAACTGTTTAATGTGGACTATCCATCAATGTTGGCGAATTCATATCACGTCCTGGTAACCATTGAGGAGGGGTCCACACTTTAAACCGTTCTCTTGACCAAACTATTCTAACCCTATTTTCCTGATTGTAACTAGCCCTCATTTTGTGAGGGTTAGAAATCTAAAACCGCCAAAAATAAAACAAAAAAAGAGAAAAGGAAAGGTATGCTTATTCAGAGAAAATATGTTTTTGTAGTTTAAAATATTTGCGCTAAATAAGCAGCATATTTGATGTGATCCGCATGAAATTTGAGTTCTAGCACATAAAAATCTGATTGTTGATTGTTTTAAACAATATGAAAGCCATTTTGTGTGTGGTAAAAGTATTTTTAAAACTTAAAGATTGTGTGTTTAAAATTGGCAACTTAGTATACCACAATAAACCTCATCTGTTTTAAAATATTTTATTTTTGGAGGTATAATCATTGGAAAGGAGGGAATGTAACAATTTCATTTAAATTAATATGAGTAGAAAATTTCTCATAAAGCTTTAATGATTCTTCAGTAATTTCAGTAACTAAATTCAGTAACTTCATTAAATTACTATTTTTTTAATGCTTTAATTAATATTTATATAATAATGTATATTTCTTTGTATGTAGATGGGAATCTATAAAGTGTATCACTTGGACTTCTGTGTTAGCCCATTGTGGTGGATTGCTTTAATATACTTCATAATGTTATTTGCTGTTTTATTTATTAGAGGTAATATTTGCTTTTCTCTTATATGTACTTATGTATGATAACTAAATAGTCTTTAATTGTAGCTGAAATCTTATTAAAGAAAAAAGAAAGTTTAATAAAAAATTATCATATATATATATATGATAATTTTATATATGAAACCTTTTTTTTCTCAATGAAATTAATATTAAGGCTTTATTATTTCGTAACAAGGGAAGAAGAATAGTAAAGAATTTTTAAAATTTATGCAGATTTTAATTTTCACTTTGAGATTGTAGTTTTTTTAAANTATATATACTGTTTTTAGACATAAAAATGAAACCTTTTTTTTCTCAGTGAGATTAATGTTAAGGCTTTATTATTTTGTATCAAGAGAAGAAGACTAGTAAAGAATTTTTAAAATTTATGCAGATTTTAATTTTCACTTTGAGATTGTAGTTTTTTGCTTTTTTGCATCTGTGCTTTTAAGCATCATTTTTTTTCCTTTCAAATTTGTGAGTGATTTTTTCGGAATTTATTTAAAATTGATGAACCAAGCCTTATTTTTTAAGTATGCAAGAACACAATCGAGATTTGTCACAGAAAAGAGAAAAGTTTGGGAATTTTATAAATCTGGAAAAAAATTATGAAAATGTCAGCGAAAAGTAACTGCCCAAAAAATCAAGGAAAATGAAGTAATTTGAGTTTTAAGTACCTAGAAGTCCACTATTTCTTAAAAACAATATTTTGTAATGATTAAAAAAATGATCTTTTTCTTCAATTTTAATATCAAGTATAAATGTTTTGTAACACATTTTATGTATAAGAATAAGGTATGAACAACTGGAAAATTTTTTGACAGAATTCATGCCTCCAGTTACAAAAATCAGGGAAATTTGATTAAATAGTCTGGATAAGTCTGGAATTTTTTTTCTTCTACTTTTTGTGGCCTCCTCAAATGTAATCTAATTGTTTTATCAGCAATTTAGTTTTGTGCAATCTTATCTATGCTGGTGTAAACTGTTTTTGCTAAGTAATTTCTTTATTCAACTTAAGGGGTCACAGTACCAAAGAAATGACCAAAATATCAATATTTTTTTTTATATGGCTTGTAATAAAACTTCAAACTATATCAAATGCATTGAAGAAAAATCATCTCTCTATCTATATTTTGAAAAAAGTTATGTATGATTTTAGAATGCCCTAAAACAGAAATTTGATTAGCGGACAAACTTCAAAGTGCTTTTTCTCATAGATGATAATTTTGTGTTTTAATCTTAATTAAATCCCTTAGGCAGTGTTTCCCAAACTTACAACTCTTGTGTACAATTTCTAAATTTTCGTAACACTGTGTACCACTAATAAAAAAACGAATGTATTTTTTAAAAAAATATGTTTATTTTTCTTTTTTGGTACAAAGTTTTGTTAATAAGTTTATTTGCATCAGTGAGAAGGATGGTATTGTTTTTGCTGTGATAAAAAAATTGCACAAAAGTTAGCAATCACAACTGGCTGTTGACACCACTAATTATTAACTGTTAACTCTGCAAAAAATAGCCAATAGAAAAATACGTAATCACAAATTTTCATGGCTAGTTTTGTTTTTTAATAAAAAAATTTTGAAATTTTCGTTTATTGCAAGATATTTCGCATAAGAACACGTACCCTCGCTAAATTGTTCCCGTACCCCTGGGGCAACGTGTACCACATTTTGGGAAATTCTGCCCCAAGGAATTCTTCCATTTAAGATAAAGCTTTGAAGTAAACTTTTTTTATATCTTAAGTATAATACACTTATTTAAACTGTGCATGGAATAAGCATTTTATGAGGTATTGCGATTTTTACAGCATTTTATTTATACCTAACAGGAATTTTTAACCTTTTTTTTTCTACTTTTTTACAAAATAATCTATAAAAAATATTCTAATTGATATATCAACAAATGAATGCACAAAATTGTTAAGATGAATATTGTAAGCAGTAAGAAAAAATTATTTTTTGAAAATATGTTTAAATAAATTAAACCTTAAGGATTTAAAACTTTTGAATTTTTTCAATTTTTTTTTAAATTTAAAAAAAAATGAACAGTTTAATTACTTTTTGGAGATAAATTATTCATTAAAAGTTAAATGAGCATGTAAAGCATCCACAAAATAATTTATTATACCTTTATGTAAAAAAATTGTTGCAAGTGTATTGTGACCCCTTAAATGTTTCATAAAATTATCACTGTTACTACCGATAAATTGCTCCTAGATTATGGAAAAGCATAGTTATAGGTTGCCACCCATTGAATTCAAAAAAGTCATAACATTTTTGACTTCACTTTGTAATAAGTTTGAATTGGATTAATAATTTAGAGTTCATTCTTTATTATGTTGTTAAGTGATGCATTTAAATTGCAATTACTTAAATACAAATGCCTAATTTTATTTTTTATCTAAATTGTGAATTTTAGTTCCTTTCATTGTTTTACTGATAAATGTATGTTTGCATCAAAGTGTTTAGTTTTGTCTTTCTTTTCATTTGAATTTACAAAGTTTTGAGTTTATGGAAAGAAAATAATCATTAGAGATTTTGAAATTTTTTGTTGACAAATTTTCATGAATAGGTCAATTTAACACCTTGAGTTCATCATCAGTGACTGACACTGAACTTACCATTTAGGCGTTATTATTATGGTCGGTTACTGGTAACTAACAACATAAAATACGTTGCAAAACAAAAAAATTTAGTTTGTTTTAATAATTATTGAAGATTTATATTAAAATTTACTTAATTTTTATTTGTTACAAATGAAATTTTTATTTATTTCAATTTGTTAGTAGCACGTTTCGCGATACTATGCCCCAAAACAAAAGCTTCTAATCACCGTTTGTGACCTGATGAAGAATACGCTCAAGGTGTTTATGTTGATAGTAATATAGCGTTAATTATTTAAGACAATTATTACTTTTTCTGCAGCTATATTCTAAATAATCTTAATAGTTAAAATTATTTAACAATATAAATGTTGCATTGTTTAATTAACTGTTTTTTATAAGAATAACTTAAGAATTAGTTAAATAACTTAGCCTTTATCTATGTTGGCTTTTTAATTATATCTTACTTTAAAAGTTGAATTCAAAAACTCACTATTAAATTAACAAATCAATTCCAAAACTGTAATATTCTTAAAATAGTTAGTTTACATTTTATTAATATTTTCTTTTTAAGTCATTAATATTAACATGACTACCAAGTCCCCTGTTTTTTAACGACTCCTGTATTTTACGACTATCTATTGTTTACCAGTTTATTCTCTAATTTCTCCTTATTTGTTGAAGAAATTTGAAAGAAAAAAATAATAAGTTTGGGATAAAATATATGCTGATGGCAAAAATACTTCTCTTTTTCCTCAACAGATGGTGCTGCAGTTTGTTGAATGTTAATAGTTTACGTAATTATAAATAATGGTTTAAAAATTTTTTCTTTATATTAAGATTTATTTACGAGTTTTTTACTTTGCTAAATGTAAGCGCTTATATTATTTCCAAATTTGAATTTCTCTTTTTGACTTACTTGATGTATCAAAACTTTACTCATAGCCTAAAACATATCCTTAGTTAAATCTCCATTATTTTATTTCTTCAATGTTGGCAGGGATGTATTAATAAATTTGAATTTCATAGGTAAAAGTATTTTACAGATTTTATGTTCTACAAAATATTAAAGCCTATTTTTATGTGTTTCTTTAAGATGTTATGAATATTATTTTATATTCTAAATCTTGGGGAAAAGTCTTGATCTTGAGAAGTTATGAATACTTATTTTATTTTCTCTAAATTTTGGGAAAAAGTCATAGGCATTTCAATTGCTTTATAATTTGTGAATATTTTCAATAATCAGAACTGTGCATATATTCTTCTGCTAATATTTCAAAACTATAAATGTTTAATTTTAAACTTATTGTTTACTAATTTTAAACTTCATTTATTTTTTGGTTTAGGCTGACTGTATGGTACAGATCAACTAGTCAATGTCATAAGTCGAAATCTTATAAGAGGTTCTAAAATATTGCCATTTTTTACATTTATGTGGAATGTTGTTCTCCCTTTGTCATTTTTAGTAAGTTTTATTCCACTTATTAGTTGATTCATTTCATTCAGTTAGTTTCAATAATGATCTCATAGTAAGTGCGAAAGATGTTTTTGTTTAAATATACATGTTTAATTTCAATTTGTATAAAACCTGTTTACCAAACTTGAAACATATAAATTTTTTTTGTTGCTCTTGTTTAGAGAAATCCTTATTCACCATGCTTTGGAATCAAGTTTTAAAACATCATAAACGTAATTTTTTTTCTCCAAAGAAAGTAATTTCATTACTATAAATTTTAGTGGTTTTGTCCCTTAGACGTTTAATCAGAATTTATAAGATATCTAATTCTCTCCAAGTTCGTAAAACATTGCAGAGGTAAAGATGTACAAATAGAGTGTATCACAATTATTCTTTATTTATTTATTTATTTTTTTTTTAAATTCAAAATTTCAAGTTGATAAAAAGTTGTTACTGCAGTCGCCTAGTAACTCTATCTTTTTTTTTTTTTTTTTTTTTTTTTAAGGAGGAGAAGATAAAAATGCAAATTTTCTTTTTTAAGAACATATTTTAAATAGTTCTAACATTAAGTAACAGTAAAAAATATATGGGAGTCGTAAAATGAGGTCTTACTTAATCTCCATGAAACCCTTAATTTTCATTAATTAATATGCATGATTTCAATCCAATTTTCGAGTTAGGTCATTATGTAGGTACTGAGTTATATTAAGGTTCTCTTCTAGGGACATAAATGTTGCATTTCACGCATATATTTTTGCTCTTATTTTACATTTAAAAAAATATCCTGACACAGTGGTGTGCTATGGTATTTGGATGTCTGGGTGAAATTCCTTAATTAGAAATTATCTACAGAAACTGTTAAATTAATGTAATAAAATTTTATTAAAATTACAAAATTTACCAATCCTATACGAATATATAAATAAATGTAAAAATAAATGTGTAAAAAAAAATTTTTTGTTACTTTATTAATTTTAATTTGCTTGAATTGAAGCTATTTTTATAATACTTTTCTAAATATTTGTATTGGTCTTTCTTAGTATCTTTTATTTTGTCCAGTTTCTTTCAGTGTTTGGAATAAAATAGCTTTCTTTTGGACAAAATGTCAATCCTGGTATCAACCGCCCCCTTTTCCTAGTAAAAAAAACCCTGCTTAATTTTTTTATTTTTTAAATAAGCGTAGGAAGGTAATCAAAACCCATATTTTAAATTCCTTTTTAGGTGATATAAGTTTAAAAATTTATTTTTAACAAAATATTCTTAATTATTTTAGACCAAATAATATTTAAATTTGATCTCGCAATACCAATTTTTTTGAAAATTATGTTTTATTCTAGATAAAATTACATGATTTAAACATTTATTTGTAATAGAATGAAATAGAATAATGTAATTATTTTGAAATTGAAAGTAAGCATTTTTGTTGCCAAATTTATTTTTTAATGTGTCCAATTGCTAATTGAAAAATAATGCTAGCAATAAACTTATTGACATTTTTGATTAGTTTATTATTTATTTCCTATAATAATTTTTTATTTGAAAACATTGACTTTTTACTTGAAAATGCTTTAAAATATTGTGGGAATTTACAAAAAAAGGTGGTGAACAAAATGAAATTTTAAAAACAGTAGATTACACTATTTTTTTAACCTTTTGTTTCCATTTTTAAGAATAGTCTAGTGTGTATTGCACCAAACATGTCCTGATTTTTTATTTTGAGCCACTACAAAGCTCGTTTAATGCCTTTTTCTTAGTGTTACTTTTTTGATTCAGTAGTAACTGTGTGCATAATTTTATTAATATTATATACCTATCTAAAATTAGTAGTATATCTACCTTAAAATTGTGCTAATGTGAATCTCATAAGTGTCAACAATATAAATTTTTTGTACTTCTGATTACTGATAGCTAGCTTAAAAAATTAGCACATTTTGATTGAGTCTGCAAAGTTAACCAAAATTATTTGATATTTGATTGGACAGACGAATTTTAATCCAGCCTGCGACTGTTCATTAACACTAAAAGTGAGATTTTTTGTTTTTTGCATCTTACATAGAGATTGTGAGTCGAATAAGATTATTTTAACTCTCCAAGTGTTGCGCTCCTGGATTAAATTGTACTGAAGTTTTTCTGCTATCCATCCTCCATTGAATAATAGCTAGAAACCCGATTATTTTGCATCGTTTTTCAGAGCAGAGTCTAATGCAGGATTAGAGGGTTAATATTTAACCCACATGGATATTACAAGGTGCGCAGCCTTTTTGAAACGTGTTAAATTTTTTGATTTACGTTTTTAAGGTGTCCTAACCTAAAAGGTAATTAATGATGTGCACATGTGGCACGAAGGTCTGTTTGTAGGGGAGGGTACTATTTCTATAGAGGGATTTTATGTAGGGAACAGAATCCTTTCCTCCAGGAATACAACTTGAAAGAGAAAAACATTTTTCCTTTTCCATCGCTCAATTATACGTTCGTTTACATATACAGTATACTTATTTTGATCATCGTTTTTTAGCCATTTTCGAAAATGTCTGAAGTAAAATGTATAAAATTTTCCGGAAATGGTAATCTCTTTGCTTTGTAAAAATTATCTCTATAATGTATATAGAAAATATAAGCGCGAAAAAATTCATTAGTGATGTGAAGACAACAATTGTAAGGCAAAATTGATAATGAAAAATGGATTAATGAAAAAATCTAATGAAAATCATGGCCATGCACCCGATTTCGACAAAATTAGAAGGAAAGAATTCTATAATAAATTGAAGAGTAGGTCCGAAGCAGAATTTTCTGAGGCAGTACCCAAAATATGTAGGTAAACTATTTTAATAAATATTATTAGCACACCCAGTTTAATATTTGACATCGAATTCACTTTTAAACTTTTACAATCGAATTTATACGATTATTATTATTTAAGCATTAATTTCATTTCAATATTTTTGATATAATTTTTATTTGATACAAAAAAAAGACAAAGTGAAAATTTAATTAAAGGAAACTCATTTGATTAGGGCTGTAAACAAGAGTCTGTTATAAATCACATATTTAATAAGAAAATTGCTCATTCAATTTATACCGTAAACAGACATTCAAAACAACTTTTTAAACTATTGCACATATAGCTAATTTATTAATAAAATTATTTTTATATCAATTTTAAAATACACATTTTTATGTAAATTTAAAAATTTAACCTGTAAATTTATAAATGCCATTTAAAAAACAAACAAACTGGAATTTAGTTACAACTTTGTTTATTCAAAATAAAATTTATTCATTTAGAAAATATAAGATGAATTCTCAGCTTAGTTTATATGACAATCGATTCTTCTCAAAAATGTTAAGGCCAGAAATAATTCCCCGCAATTTTTAAATTTAATTGTATGTTGTTTGAACAATTAGATAACAGTTAAATATCATAACTGAAACGTATAATTTAATGAATACTGTTCTAAAATTAATACAGAATAAAAATTTATCAATTTAGAAAATATTGCATAGACTTGCAGCTAATTAACTGTGCATAACTGTGCCTACTTAGGAAGTGGTACAGATAGATGCTTTGTGTTTTGCATTTTTAAAAATTAAACAACATATTCTTCAAAATATGAAGACGATAATGTGTTATCATCTTTAATAATGAAAAAAAAACCTAAAGTAGTTTCTATCAAACTAAAGAGGAAAAATGAAAGATGTAGAAAAAAAATATTTATTTTTAACAAATATTGAACAAGAAAAGCTAATCAATCAAGTTTAAGTTTGAATTGATTTTTTAGTTACTTATCATTAATACTCATCATTTAGTTACTCATCATTAATATAGAAGTGAAAATAAAAAAACCTAGAATTGGAAATCATAATAAAATTTATAAATTTTTTAAACTAAAAGAATTACTTGTCTCTTTAACGGTTTTATACTTATGATAGATTAATAAACTGTTGAAGTGTCCTATACCAACTTTATGTAAGCATTAAAATTAACAAACCTTATAATTATTATGCCTAGAATAAATGTTAATCCATTGCATTCTTCGCCATTAAAAATAGTATATATTGTACTTACTAAATAATGGCAAGTGCAATTAATAAAAATGTCTCATAGATAAAATGCTAGAGGTATTTTAAATTAATATCTATTATGCAGAATTGATGTTTACATAGCTTTACAAAAAATATTAAGTAAATATAATTTAAGAAATAAGCCTAAAAGTTTTTAAATGAATTTTGTTTTTCTGCAAATTTTTAAAAAAATATTTGCATTTAAAATATTAATAGATAATTACATAAAATTTAGAGTATTGGTGTTAGAAACATTAATATTTGAAGTATTAATATATGGATGTTTTAATTTGCAATCTTTTAGCATAGGGTACTTTTAAAAAATTGAACTAATTTTGGTGAGTAACTCATGTAAGATGGCTTAGTAAAGTTTCATACCATATACTTTTTTTGTTATTATTATTCTACAAATTTAAAGTATCCTGCCTAAAATTTACAATTTTAAAATAAAAATTAATTGTTGTAAATTCATTATTAAACTACGTTTATTTTTCTTTCTTCTTTTAAAAAAAACTAATATCCAAAGTTACTAAAATACATTAATATTAAAACAGAGATGAGAAGATTAATAAAGCAATTTTAAAAAAATTGTACTTTAACACAGAATTTTTTATCATAAAACTAAAAATATAAATTTATGAAATTTGGACAAAACTGTACCTATTTATTTAGGAAAATAATTAATTATTTTTTTACAAAGTTAATAAAAGATTAAGTAAATACTAAGATTTTGTGCAAAACTACAAAAATTAATCACGAAATAACTATTAAAAACAAAAGAAATTTAATTTTTATGCACTATGTAGAATTTTATTTTTGTTATACTTATCACTAAATAATTTTATTCATTATTTTTAGTTCTTTCCATTTCATCTAGCTTTTTTTAATTTTTAAGATAATACTATATACACTCATTCGCAATAGACTCAGCAGTAACTACAGAGGAAAATTGTATTCAACATGCACAAGTAGTGCTGTTTGTCATATTATGTTGCTATGAGGGTCGATAACATAACACATATTAGCAAACAGCCAATTTTTAGTTATAAATTTTCCAAATTAGGGATTTACTGTGTAAATGCATTCTTCAACTTTGTACAGGTTCATAAAAATGTTCTCTTAGTTATCATATGGTTATTTTAAAAATTCAAATAATTTGATGTATAATTTTCAGGGAGGAAATAGGAAAAGTGGCTAGGAGGATTGAGAAAGCAGTCAGTCTGTGAAATTTAAAAACTGCTTGCCAAACTATGTTATGGGAAAGAATTTTGGTTTGTACATTTTTGTTATGAACTTGTTATTAATCATACCAGCCAGCTTACACTTTTCTGAAAAATAATTTTCTCAAGCAGTACTAATTTGCAGAAATATCAATTTTTATTTTGCCAAAACACCCTATGATATGTTTATTATGCATGTGTATGCATTCTTAATTTATTTATGTGTAAATGTAAGATTCTTTTAAATTAAATTTAAAAATTTCATATATTAATAGAAAGGCTTAAATTTTGCTTCCACTTTGAATATAGAAATGAAATCTGACAAAAAGCGCATAAAAGTTGGCAGGTATGCTATTTCTATTCATTAATATAAAAAAGTTACAATTTACGTAAAAATGATGGACTTTTTAGAATAATTCCTATGTAAATATTTGCTTTAAACTAAAAATTTAAATATTTTAGGTAAAGAATTGAAATTAAACAATTATAAACCACTTAATTAACTTATTATAAAACTTATTTTCATTTTGTTTAGTTATAACACCAATTTAGTTATAACACCAATAAATAAGCATTTAAAAGCGCTGAGAAAATAACCTTAAGGTTGAAAAAATAATGATTTCTCACTCTTCTTCCATATTAAAAGAAAAAAAAGAAATTTGTGGTAAATGAAAAGAAGCACTTAATTGAAAATAATTCATGGACTATATCTCCAGTATGGCGATTAAAAATAATTACAACCCAAATCTTACAGTATCCTCTGCACAGCACTAGCAATGTGAATGTTTGGCTAGTGTGTGGTCAAACAGTAAAGTGAATTCAATATATAATAACAATAAACTTAAATAATGAGTTTCATCTTCAATTTCTTTTTCTCTTTTACCACATGTAAAAATTCAATCAAAGAAGCTGAAGGGCTTCCTCAATTTACAATTTGTCACAGAACTTTTAATTTAAAATGACACAGCTGTCAATTAAACTAGAACAGAACATTGATAACCGTCTCTGCTAATAAATATCTAACTATTTCATAAACAGTGCACTAATTAGAGAAGAATGCTATAGAGATGGTGAGGTTTATAACAATAAAGAAACTTTAAACCATTCATACTGAGCAAGCCTTTAGCACAGAATATTTCTTCTTTTATTATATCCTAGCGAAATAAAATTTCCTGGCATTCAACTTACTTTTCCCTGGCATTATTTTTAAAATAAAAAAATAAATTAAAAAATAAATAATCTTATTGCATAATTTATCTTAAAGACATAACAAAAATTTTATTTAATTCAGATATTTGGAACAAAAGAAAATTTGGAGGTTTTGTGCCAATGTGAAGAAATATATATTTGGATGGAACATTTAAAATGTCACCAAGGTTTTTTTGCCTGCTTTATTCATGGGTATTCATGGGTAAAATATTCCCATTTGTGTGTAGCCTATTGCCTGACAAGTCGAAACATACCTATTTACGTTTGTTTTAGCATGTCAGCAACATCACTTGGAATAATGGGTATATTTTTAACCCAGAATGTGCCATGACGGATTTTGAAGCTGGCGCAATGAACGCTCTTCAGGAAGTCATCCCTTGGGTTATGATTAAAAGATGCTATTTCCACTTTTCACAGTCGATTTGGAGGAAGGTACATAAAGATTGTCATCTTTTAATAACTTAATTTACTTCATTAAAAACCAGATTTATTCATGCTCAATTTAATTTAGAATTTGAGTAACAACATTAATATTCTTTACAACAATAGCCATGTCAGGGACTAATACAAAATTTCAAATTTCACCTTCATTTTTGTTAAAAATTCGTATATTTTTTATAATTTTTATGAAACTTTCTGTAATCTACATTTTTTTAATGGAAAACGTTAAAAGAAGAAATTAAAATTACTATTTCTAGCGCTTTAAATAATTTAAATACTCAATAATGCAGGAACCAGAAATACATCTTGTGAAACATCTCACTCTATCTTTGCGAGATATTTCATAGTTTTGGTTCGTTATGTAAGTCCTCTTAATGATGACAAAGGATTTTGCGGGTATAAGTATTTATTTTCGTCATCTCTGGATTAAGTATGTAGTAAAAATAAAATGTGAACATATACACAATCTACATGACATTTAAATTCCGGAGCTCTACTGCTCCCTTCTAGTTCATACTCTCTCTTAGTGCAGCTAATACTACGTTCAAGCTAATACTGAAAAGAAATCCTTCTTCTCACCAGAAAAAGTCCTTCGCTCCACCCCCAATGTAGTGGAACGACACTTCCCGTTTGCCTAGTCCTCTGACCCTCAAAAAGGGGTCAATAAAATGCGTGGGAGAGGAATCAGGATCCTGACACATCTAATTTTAAATTTGTTTTAATGAGCCAATATTTCTGAAATATGAGTTAGTCAGTCAGAAAATAGCATAAGACTCTACTATCAATACAGTAAAAATAATAAAATATTTTTTAATGAAAATATTTAACAAATACTTTGATTGAATACAGCTCAATATTTTATGATGTGTTTTAAGAAAAAATGTTTTAGGGAACTATTTCTTATAATTATAACACATGAAGGAAAAAAAACTTAAGTTTACTTTTCTTCTTCTTTTTTTAGGTATTATATTAAATAAATACATAAGCATCTAGCATTTAAAATTCTTATACTATATTCAGTACAACAAAAATTATTTTATAAGAAGCAAGTTATGTACAATTTAGAGGATTGTTAGTTTTATCTGAATATAAGATTAAACTAATTTACCCAAATTAAAATAAATGAACAAAAACCTTATAGCAAATATTAAAAAGTGAAGCATGTGAGAAAATAGTTATTAAAAGACACTATTTTATGAAAACTCAAACATTTCTTATAAGAAATATTAAATCAAAGATTAAAAAACTACTAAAAACAAGTATGTAATGTCTTGAAGCTTGATCATATAAGCCGATTCATTTCTTCAATGAAAAATATGAAAAAAATAAAAATACAAAACTGTCTATTTTTTTCTTCGTTTTTTTATAAAATGATTATGGAAATGTTGATTTTCGGTAGAATTATTATGAAGTGTGACTGATAGATTTTTTGTGATGGTACCGATTTTTTTAGTAAATTTCGTGAAGATGCCGTTTTGATTCACATATTTTTGTGAAGGTACCCTTTCGGTTCACATAATTTTTGTGAAGGTTCCAAGAAACGGTGCCAAAATTGATCTGATTAGTCCCTGCATGTACGCTAGAAAGATTAAAAATTCAAAGTAAAATTTTAAATATTGAGAATAGTATCACTGACGCTCATTTTAATGTCAGCATTTTATTTCAGGTTCAAGCATTACCTCTAGTATCTGATTACACAAACTGTGAAGACACAAGGCGGTGGATTCGGCGATTATCAGCCCTTCCTCTTGTACCTATCCACCAGATCGAGGATGCCTTTCTGACGATAACAAGAGATGCTCCAACAAGCCACCAAATTAACAATTTCACAGCGTGCATGAAAATGACATGAGTAGATGCTGGTGCTCAGTTTAGTCCGTAAGTCATGCAGCAAATCTTAGCAGTGATACAAATTCTTAAATATGTGTGCAATTCTATTTATTATTCCAGAAAGCAATATCAATTACTTTAATTCTTAATTTTTATACAAATAATTTGTTAAATAATTTAAAACTTTAGATTGGATCCAAATACAGATTTAAGCAATATACTTACAAGTGGCAAACTAATTAGTTATTTTTTATTTATCCAATATCATTTATGAATGAGACAGAATAGCATTTCTCAACTGTTTCAAGGGACTACTAGGTACCGTGCAAAATCAATGGTGGGCAACTCAGAATAAAATGAATAAAAACATACAATGTATAAGGGAATATTCACTACGTGTTAATTAGCAGAGTTATGGGAAATTAATTTTTAGGGATAAAAGTATAAGTAAAATGAAATAAAGAGTGTAAAATAATCATAATATCTAAAAGAAAACTTAAGAAATTGCATCAATTTAAAGAAAAAAGTTCTGTTATTCATTTGAAATGTTGAATTTTTTTTTTTATAATTTATAATGTACTTTCATTTTTCTCTTAGAGAATTTCTTAAAACTGCAATTTATTTAAGGTAAGATAACCACACACAGACAGAAAAAAAATTCTCAATTTTTTCGTACTGATTTTATTGAATCTCTGTCTCAAATGACTTTAATTTATAATTTTAACATTCTGAAACAAAGTATGATACAAAATGAAATAAACAATTATAAAGACATAAAATTAAACATTTGTTTTTTTTAAAAAAAAAATATTATTGCAAGTCTAATTTTTTAAAAATCAGCATTTTTCAGATACTACAAGCATATGTTTATTTACTTTTATTAGTATTTGATTTCAATGCTCTGATTTTTCAAAATAGTTAAATCTTTCTGTGAACCTGTCAAATTTTGTTAAACTATTTTTCTTAAAAATTTAGGTAGCAAATCTCTTACAGTTTAAAAATATAATGACCATTCAATTGAAGAAAAAAATCATATTGCATTTTAGATATAAGTACTAATATATTCAACCATTATTTCGAAATGCCTCGTTTTAAGCATTATTTTGTTTTATTTTGAAGGCACATTTGGAACCATTTCGACTATAGTGACCATGTGCATACGAACAACCATGTTAAGGCGGTGACACTCCAAATTAAGCCATACAGGAGTGCCATCAAATCTAAATGTCTATACGTTCATAGGCATGACAAAAAAAAATTATCATGAAAATGATGTCGAAAAAATAATGTTGCTGTGCGGGGCCCAGAACCCACCAGAACAAAAAAAAAAAAATAATACAAGCATTCTAACGAAAGACTGGATGTTTTAAAGACAAGGATATATCAAATGCCTTTAAAAGCCTATATTGACACAGCAGCATACTATGTACAGTTTAAAAAGTGTTTAATTATATCTTATGTTTATGTTTCTAAATTTTATTTCATGCTACATACTTAATAAATTTTATATTTTTACTCTTGTAAATATTAGAATCATAAATAGAAAGAATATTAACATATTATCCTGTCAACCATTCTCACCAACCCTGTGCCTTCGTTGTCCTCCAAATTTATTTATACAAAGTAATTCATCATGAAAGAGTAAGAAAAAAATGCAAAGATAACTTCTTACATGCAAAAAATGAGAAAAAATTAAAGTTAGAACCACACATAAATTTATTTTCTGAATGGGTGATGGTATAATACTTAAGTACCATAAAAAGAATGCTACACAAATAAATTGCAAATATGTTTGCACTGTTGCCAAGAAAAATTTATACTAAAGATACCTCACTTCTATTAATACACAAAAAAAGACACCAAGCAAAATGGGTTTATAAAGAGATATAAAAAAAAGTAAAATTTTTGAACTTATCTTGAATTATTTAACTTATTTTTAATTAACCATAATGAAACTTTCAAATTCGAAATCTAAGAAAAAGAATCTTAGAAATCCAATACGCTACAGCTCTATAAGAGGAGATTTACTCTTTACATAAATTTTGTTAAACATATGGTAGACAATATTACGTTATTAATTTTTATACAGAGATAATTACCATATTTTAGTTTGCAATTTATTAAGATAGTTTTAATTATTTTTACTTTTAAACTTCAATGCACCAAGACCTACGATTAGCTCAACAATAAAAACAATCTTTACATTTTAGACTGCATATTAGGTACAACAAATAAAATTGTTTTTCAAAGGATTCATGTTTACAGCAAACATTAATCGAAAACTTGTTTAGTGAATATCAAGGTTTGCCTACCCGTCAAAGTTAGCCCGGAAAAAAACCTCGGAGTTTATTTAAGGTGTGTTTTTTCAAACTTTCCTTTACTAGATCAATAGATAGTAAAATCAAAAGTAAAATATTTGTAAATTATTGTAATTTAAGCAGGCGTTTCCAAGCATTCATTACATTTATAATTACAAGATTTATTAATTTGTTGACTTAGATTTACTTATTGCACAATTTAGCTAAATCAATTTGGGTTCAACTCGTCAAATAAAACGAAATGCTATTAACTTATTTTTAATGGTTGTGCCTTTAATTAGAATAAAAAATAAGGTCTTTGTTTTCATGAAGAACATGCAGATTGAGGTTTGGTAAACCTTTTAACTCATTTTTAGTTTACAGATAATTATTAGTATTAAATTTCTAATAAACAAAATTTCATAACAATTTCTTAATTTTTGTCATGATATAAATTTTAAATTTTTTGAATATCTAAACAGTTTGTACCGATTTAAATTTGCTTTATTTATTTAACACTAGATTGCCGAAGGAAGTCATTTTGACTGCTTTTAATTTCAATTAGAAAAGCAATGATGTCTATAATGACACAATTTCTAAGAATTTTGTGACTTTTTGTACAAAATATAATTTTTTTATTGTTAATATTTACTAATAACTTGTTAAATAACTGTAAATAATATAAAAAATGTTAAAAATTAATTATANTTACGCATTCACAATCCAGTCATTTTGACTGCTTTTGGGCAATATAGGTATATG